TGTAAATCAGAAATAAAAACAGAAGTTGTTGGAAGCTTAGTCGGTCTGGCAGCCACTGTGAAGATAAAATCAGAGTTAACGTTTTGGGTCCGGTGACCCTTCCTCAGAACTGGGCAATCAACCGGCCTTCCCTAAACTTCCAGGTAATGCATTCTACACTCTAACAATTTGCTGTATGAACAAGTTTTGTTTTCTCATATTACTCTTGATTCTTTTGCACAACACTTTAAATCTATGCCCTACTATTATTGTTCCTTTGATGAGTGCTGGGGTGAAAATCTGCCATCATTACCTGATCTGGTCTACATGTGACTCCAGCCTGACAGCAACATGGTTGACTCTTGAAAAATATTTTTCACCCTTTCTTTATTTGCATATCGTCGTTTAACATCAAGAGGGTATAAATTTACAAACAGGAACGGTTTCTCCCTATCTATTCTATCCAGCCCACTGATGATTTTATAAGCTTCTATCAGATCTCCTCTCCAAAGAGAATAATACCAACTTCTTCAATTAATCCTCATAACTGAAGTTTCTCATTCATAGAATCGTAGAGTTATATGCATGGACACAGAGCCTTCGGCCCGACTCATCTATGCTGGCCAGATATCCTAAATTAATCTAGTCCCATTTGCTAGCATTTGGCCCATAACCCTCTAAAGCCTTCCTATTTATAGAAGCTCAACAGCATGGAAGCAGGCCATTTGGTCCAACAAGTCCACACCCACCCCTCCAAAGAGCACCCCACCCAGACCCATTCCCCTATATTTTCCCATGTCTAACCCAAACATCCCTGGGCACCATGGGGCAATTTAGCATGGCCAATCCACCTACCCTGCACATCTTTGGACTGTGGGAAGAAAGCGGAGCGCCTGGAGGAAACCCATGCAGACATGGGAAAGAATGTGCAAACTCCACACAGACAGTCGCCCAAGGCTGGAATCGAACCCAGGTCCCTGGTGCTGTGAGGCAGCAGTGCTAACCACTGGGCCAGCCATTCATGTACCCCCTCAGATGCCTTATAATTGTTGTAATTGTTTCCACCTCCACCACTTCCTCTGGCAGGTCATTCCATAAACACACCATCCTCTGCATGAAAGAGTTGCCACTCGGGTCCCTTTTAAATCTTTCCCCTCTCACCTTAAACCTATGCCCTCTAGTTTTAGACTCCCCAGCCCTGGGGAAAAGATCTTGGTTATTCACCCTATCCGTGCCCCTCGTGGTTTTATAAAACTCTATAAGGTCACCCCCTCAGCCTCCGACGGTCCAGGGAAAAAAGCCTCAGCCACTTCCTATTAGCTCAAGCCCTCCAATCCCAGAATCATCCTTCTAAATTTTTTTTCTGCGTCCCCTCAAGTTTAACAATTATAGAAGGGCAACAAGAACTGTATGCAGTATTTCAAAAGCAGCTCCACCAATATGCTGCACAGGCACAACATGACAAATGATCTCCTATAATTAACGGTATTACCAATCAAGGCAAGCGCGCCAAAAGCCTTCTTCACCACCCTGTCTACCTGCGCCTCCTATGCAAGGAAATATGCACCTGCATATGCATACGTTTCTTTGTTCACAACACTCCCCAGGCCCTACCATTAACTGTATAAGCCTGCCCTGGTTTGCCTTACCAAAATACAACACCTCATTTATCTAAATTAAACTTCATCTGCCACTCCTTAGCCCATTGGCCCATCTGATCAAGGTAGTACACTCAGATCATATTCCTCACTGTCCACTAAACCACCAATTTTGGTGTCGCCCGCAAACTTACTAACCATACCTCCTATATTCATATCCAAGTCATTTATATAAATGACGAAAAGCAGTGGACCCAGCGCCGATCCTTACAACACACCACTGGTCACAGGTCTCCAGTCTGAAAAACAACCCTCCACCACTACCCTGCCTCCTACCTTAAAGCCAGTTTTGTATCCAATTGGTTAGCTCCCCCTGTATTCCATGCAATCTAACCTTGCTAACCAGTCTACCATGTGGAACCTTGTCAAATGCCTTACTGAAATCCATACAGATAATGCCACCATTCTGCCTTGATCAGTTTTCTTTCTCACTTCTTCAAAAAACTCAATCAATTTAGTGACACATGCTTTCCCACGCACAAAGCCATGTTGACTTTTCCTAATCAGTCCTTGCCTTTCCATGTGCGTGTAACTGTCCCTCAGAATCCCCTCCAACAACTTGCCCACCACTGACATCAGGCTCACTGGTCTATAGTTCCTTGGCTTTTCCTTACAGCTTTTCTTAAAGAATGGCACCACGTTAGCCAACCTTCAGATGTCCAATACCTCACGTGTGGTTGTTGACGATACAAATACCTCATCAAGGGGCCCAGCAATCACTTCCCTAGCTTCCCACAACGTTCTGCGATACACCTAATCAAGTCCCGGGGATTTATCTAACTTCATGCATTTTAAGATGTTCAGCACCTCCCCTTCTGTAATATGGATAGCTTTCAAGATATCACTACTTATTCCAGGAACCATTCTGGTAAATCGCTTCTGCACTCTGTCCTATGCATGCACATTTTTCTTATAATCTGGTGCATACAACTGTACACAATATTCCAGCTGAAGTCGAACAAGTATCCTGTATAAGTTCAACATCACCTCCCTGCTCTTATACGCCCTTACTAATAAAGCATGAATACTGTATGCTACAATTACTGCTGTCTTCACCTGTGCTTTGAGTTATAAAGAAAGGCTAGATGGGCTGCGACCTTACTGGAGCATAGGAGGTTGAGAGGCGACCTGATAAAAGTTTATAAAATAATGAGGGGTATAGATAGGGTTAATGGTAATTGTCTTTTCCCCAGGGTGTGGGATTTCAAGACTAGGGAGCACATTTGTAACGTGAGAGGAGAGCTGAAACCTTCCATACCCAGCAACATCCTGGTAAATCTCTTCTGAACCCTCTCCAGCTTAATAATATCCTGCCTGTAACTGGTCGACCAGAACTAGATACAGTATTCCAGGAGAGTCTTGTACAACCTTAACATGACTTCCCAACTCCTATATTCAAAGGACTGAACAATGAAGGCAAGTGTGTCAAATGCCTTTTTAACCACCCTGTCTATAGGTGATGCAAACTTTGAAGAATTATGCACCTGACCGCCAGGTCCCTCTGTTCTACAACACTACCCAAGGCCCTACCCTTGTTTGTTGTACCAAAATGCAATACCTCACATTTATCCAGATTGAACTCCATCTGCTATTTTTCAGCCCATTGACCCATTTTGCCTGAGGGTGGAATTGAACACAGGTCTCTGGCTTTGTGAGGTAACAATACTAATGACTGAGCCACTTTGCGACCCCTAAAGTATTGTGTTAATTAGATTAGTCAAATTGTGCGTTTAATATATAATGCTGGTATTGCTAATTGTGCATCACCCACATCAACTATACATAAATCACCATGAACTTGACAATGTAATGTAAATATTCATTTAATTTCAATTTTGCATTTAGAAGTCTCCTAAAATCCAAGATAACTTGCTGCTTGTCTTCCAAAGCCAGTACATTATATAAGACATGAGTCAGGAGTGTGACGGAACAATTTCCATTTGACTGAATGGGGCAGCTCCAACAGCACCGAAGAAATTCCAAGCCATCTCGTCCACTTGATTAGCACCATATTCACCACATTCTACATCCACCCTCTCCATCACCGACATAGTGGTAGCATCGTGTATCAATTGTAAGATGCACTGCAGCACCAGCCCAAGACTGCTTTGATATCAGTTTCCAAATCTGTGAGCTCTACCACATTGGACAAAGACAGCAGATACATAGAAGCACCAGCATATGCAATTTCCCCTCCAAGCCACACTCCAGCCTGACTTGGGAATTATATGATCACCTCTTCATTGTCACTGGTTCAAAATCTTGAAATTTGACTTCCTAACAGGGTGGGTGTACCTGAACAACATGCATTACAGCTGATCAAGAAAATGCCGACCAACCCCTCAAGGGCAATTAGGGATGGGTAACAATGCAAGTGATGTTACGTTCCATGGAAGAATTTGAAACATCTCAGTTTGTATAAAGAGATAGTAGGAACTGCAGATGCTGGAGAATCCGAGACAACAAGGTGTCTCATCCCCATCCCAGGCCCCAAGAAGACTTTCCACATCAAGCAGATGTTCACCTGCACATCTGCCAATGTGGTATACTGCATCCGCTGTACCCGGTGTGGCTTCCTCTACATCGGGGAAACCAAGCGGAGACTCGGGGACCGCTTTGCAGAACACCTACGCTCGGTTCGCAACAAACAACTGCACCTCCCAGTCGCGAACCATTTCAACTCCCCCTCCCATTCCTCAGATGACATGTCCATCCTGGGCCTCCTGCAGTGCCACAACGATGCCACCCGAAGGTTGCAGGAACAGCAACTCATATTCCGCTTGGGAACCCTGCAGCCCAATGGTATCAATGTGGATTTCACAAGTTTCAAAATCTCCCCTCCCACTACCGCATCCCAAAACCAGTCCAGCTCGTCCCTGCCTCCCTAACCTGTTCTTCCTCCAACCTATCCCCTCCTCCCACCTCAAGCCGCACCTCCATCTCCTACCGACCGACCTCATCCCGCCCCCTTGACCTGTCTGTCCTCCCTGGACTAACCTATCCCCTTCCTAACTCCCTACCTACACTCACCTTTACTGGCTCCATCCCCGCCTCTTCGACCTGTTTGTTTCCTCTCCACCTATCCTCTCCTCTATCCCTCTTCTATCCGCCTCCCACTCTCTCCCTATTTATTTCGGAACCCCCTTCCCCTCCCCCTTTTCTGATGAAGGGTCTAGGCCCGAAACGTCAGCCTCTCTGCTCCTATGATGCTGCTTGGCCTGCTGTGTTCATCCAGCCCTGCACCTTGTTGTCTCAGTTTGTATGAACATGCTTTTTACTTTCTGCCTTACTATTTCTCATTCCAACTCTTTTCAGTGGTTCAGAGTTTAGTGGTAACAGACTGGCTATTTACAATGACTTACCATGGACTCTTATCACAGTAGCATATTTATGCATAATGATATTGAAGTCTTTTTAAAACACAACACAGTAAGTCATGAAATTGAAACAATTAGTGCTCTGCAGTAAGTTGTCAGTATTTGTCAGACATTTCAGTGTGATGAGAAAATGCAGTTGTACAATTGGAACATTTACTAGATCATGCTGCAAAACACGTCCTGGGGTGCAACTGTAATGACTGTTAACTGAGCTTACAAAACAACAGTCACTGGACTTATATTAAATATAAAATTACAGGAAATGTCTGCTTGGGAGAACAGGAAAATTACAGGATGTATTTGTCTAGACAGCTGAATGTTAGTGTGCTTCATGTTTTTGTGTTAAAATATTATCTGGACATTAATTTTGTCAACGTGCATGTCTTTATTACCCTTTGATGTTTGTGACATGATCTAGTAGTACCTGATTTTTGTAAGTGAAATTTTGTGGTCCCTATGTGGCTGATTGTTTCATTCAATTTCAATTTTTTGGGCTATTTTCTTTATAATTTTTAAACTGGGAGAAAAATGTAAAATATGCAATACTTTTATGAATGTAATTTTAAGAAATTAGTTCAGGTATGTGACTACAAAAAAAGTCTCAAGGATCTCTTTGTATCCAGCAAAAGAAAAATCAGGACCGGGATGAAGTTGCTTTGTTTGTCCACCCCCTCCTCAGATTTGTTTGTGTTCTTTGCTTTCCTATTGAACAGCAAATTTGATTTGAAACACTCACTGATTAATGGATAAGCCATCAAGAAAATTAGCTGGGAATGTCGGATAAGTTTAAATCAGAGTTAACGTTTCGGGTCCGGTGATCCTTCCTCAGTTCACTGGACCCAAAACGTTAGCTCTCATTTTTTTTTTCACAGATGTGCTGCCAGACATGCTGAGCTTTTCCAGCAACTTCTGTTTTTATTCCTGATTTACATCATCCACAGTTCTTTCGGTTTTTATAAGGCAGTCTCAGGCATGGCAGCTTATTTATTCGTGCCCTTCATCACTGCACACAATAGCAAGGAGTGTACCAGCTACAACATGTACTGCATTAACTTATTAAGGCTTCTAAGCATCATCTGAATCAGGACGTGCACCACCTGCACAAGGGCTGCAGGTATGTGGGAGCAGCATCACCTGCAAATCGCTCTTCAAGTCACACACCATCTGGACATGACCATTTATTATTCTTTTGCTGTTACTCGGTTACTGTCCAGTAACACCCTTCCTAACACTACTGTGGTTGCCCCAAAATCGCTAGAACTGCAATAATTCATGAAATTAGCCTCTAATGGCCTCCTCACACGCAGTTAGGGATGAGTATTAAATGCTGGGCCTAGACAGTGAAATTGAGCTTTGAGAATGCTTTCTTGCACCTTGTGCATCAATCTAATGGATCTCCAGCCTTCCCAATGATTGACAGACGGCCATCCAGCTGCAGCGTTATCACTTAGTGATGGACAGCTGGCAACCTGCTGATTTTCAACAATCAGAAAGATTTAACAACATTGATGGTGGCGGGAACATTGCCTTCTGTTGATTGACAGTTGTCATTCCCAGGGAGTGACAGGTGTCAACCTGCTGATTGACAGCTATTGGTCCCAGGTGATTGACAGGTGCCTGTCCCTGTGATTGACAGGTGCCTGTCCCGGTGATTGACAGGTGTCAGTCTCGGTGATTGACAGGTGCATATCCCGGTGATTGACAGGTGTCAGTCCCTGTGATTGACAGGTGTCAGTCCCTGTGATTGACAGGGTGCCTGTCCCGGTGATTGACAGGGTGTCAGTCCCGGTGATTGACAGGTGCGTGTCCCGGTGATTGACAGGTGTCTGTCCCGGTGATTGACAGGTGCCTGTCCCGGTGATTGACAGGTGACCTGTCCAGGTGAGTGACGGGTGCCAGTCCCGGTGATTGACGGGTGCCAGTCCCGGTGATTGACAGGTGACCTGTCCCGGTGATTGACAGGTGCCTGTCCCTGTGATTGACGGGTGCCTGTCCCGGTGATTGACAGGTGCCTGTCCCGGTGATTGACAGGTGCCTGTCCCTGTGATTGACGGGTGTCAGTCCCGGTGATTGACAGGTGTCAGTCCCGGTGATTGACAGGTGTCAGTCCCGGTGATTGACAGGTGCCAGTCCCGGTGATTGACAGGTGCCTGTCCCGGTGATTGACGGGTGCCTGTCCCTGTGATTGACGGGTGTCAGTCCCGGTGATTGACAGGTGCCAGTCCCGGTGATTGACAGGTGCCTGTCCCTGTGATTGACAGGTGCCAGTCCCTGTGATTGACAGGTGCCTGTCCCGGTGATTGACAGGTGCCTGTCCCGGTGATTGACAGGTGACCTGCAGCGCTGGCTCCAGCTGAACTCTGACTCTGCGCAGCTACAGGAAGAGGAAGCGCCGGAGTGAAGCTGTTACTGAGAGGATTTCCGAGGCCGAGCCTCTAACAAAAGGCGGCCGCCATGGACAGGCTGGGCACTTCCGAGAGCCTGGCCACAAAGAGGCCACCGCGCTTGGCCACCGGCTCCGGGCAAGCGAGCTTGGATTCACAGGAAAGGTAGCGGGGCCAGGCCTGGGACTGGGGCCAGCGGGTAGAGAGAGCCGCCCAGGCGGCTCTGTTTGTATTGGGATCCCGGGCACGGTGCATGGAGCCCGGGC